TGGAACAAGAGAACGGTGCAATAACCCCTGAAATCTCGTTTCGAAGCAGTAATACGCTAAACCATTTACTGACAGGTGGTTTGGACACTAATGTCATCCTTCTCATACACTAGAACCCTGTTCGTGACTAGCTTACTGAAAAACGAACGGAACGTTACCACGTGAGTGATTTCCCGCATAAACAGATTCAGTGCTTACGAAATAATGATCAAAATAACCTGTCGTCTATGACCAAAATTCATCAAAGCAAAATCTGAGCATCCGGGAACGCGGCGCTGGTTACCAGTAGGTTTACCCTGTTCGAATCGACGCTGCATCATTAATCAGTTTTGCTGTCACTCATAGAAATTCATATATCGAAAGAGCGGAGATGGCTAATTCTGGATTGTTTTTCCATGAGAAAACATAATAGCTATTATTTAGAGATAGGTGGTTAAGCGATTCATGTTTCAGGGTATCAAATGCAACGGATGGTAAGACGTTTATTGCCAACGTGTTTCGCTACATGGACCGTACCACAAAGATTACTGGCGCTTTCAAGCGGTCAGTTCTATCCAGCGTAACCCCGATGATTATACGGTTTTTTTTAACGAAACGTGTTGGCAATAAAGGCGTTATCATATGTTGCATTTGGAGCCCTGAACCGTGAATCGTTCAACCACCTATCCATGTAATTATGGGCAGAAAATCAAAATTTGCAGTCTTATTGTTAGAATTAGCTTTCAACTATTAATATTGGATTTACTTTCAAAGGTGCGATGCAATGTACAACCAGGCGTAATGAGTCCCACCCGTCTTACACTGCCGTAAAGTAATTTACTTTACTGTACAGTTTTCGTCGTGTAAATCCAATATTAATAATTGAAAGGTAATATTTGCGGGCGGTGGAATGGGAAGGCTACCATTCTTGGTACTTGGTACCCCAGGTCATCAGGGTTATACTTATCATTTTTTTATGTTGTTTGCTTCTTTATTTCTTTGCTGCTATCATTTTCTGCCTTCAGCATGCCGTGATTATATTGTTTTGTACTGATGGAAGCCGCATTGCTGAAGTTGTTTACCGAAGAAGTACAATCAGGGGGTACAAATGGTAAAAAAGATCTTGTTTCAGATTACTGTCCGCGTACAACAAGTTTCTGCCAAGTTGGCAAATACGGTACAAAACCATCTCTTGTCTGCCTTGCCATTCTCCAGATCGATATATTAAAACTGCAATTGTTGTAAAATGTAATTATGAAACCACAAAAGAGACCAGCAAATCCAACTAGCCTAACTAGTTTGGCAAAGCCTCATGGAATAAGGCAGTGAAGTAGAACCAAGGATCAGATGAATGACTGTGTTGATGAGGTTACGCTGTGTCGCTTTAAAATCCGGCCCGATGAGCTTATCTACTGGCAGACTCTTGACTTACCCGTGAGTTCGCCCTCGATGGCAATGTTTGTGTAAACCGACTCTCGATAACCTAAGGTCAAACTGTGAAAATGCTTTCGGCTTGACTAACATTCACAATGGTGCCACGATCATGTAGGTTGGTTGTTAAATTCTTTAGACCTTTAATACTACGAACGCATATTTTTCGAACTAATGCTTTGATGTTGTTGTGCATTTATGTAGCTCAGGTCCCGAAATACACTTGAATTCAGAGCTGATTAAATACTTGTAAACATTATAAGGAATGTACGGTGCGACTCTGCCGTATATGCCGCTGTAGTCCGTTATATGAATCATTCTTTACAGCAGTATATGTGTGAACCAATTCTTGTTAGTTTTAAACCTAATTCGTATTAGATACATGCTACCTTCTTGCTTTGTGAAATCCAGCCTATGGACTTTATAGATGGGCAGAATACCGTAACCATTGGAAAAAGGTGAGCGAAGCAAGCTGTGCTGCTCAAAGTGATTAGCGTGATAGATTTCTAGAGTTTGATAATTAGCGCTTATTTTGCCAATGAACGGAAAGTACTAGAAAAAGTTTACCTTCATCAAAAAAGAGAGATTTCAAATGGTAAGGATTTTTTTACCGTTTTCCTGTTGGACCCGGTCGATAATTTTGATGTAGTTAGCAGGTACTAATCCGCTGTTTTTACCATCGCTTGTAGCCAATAGCCAACCTCTGATCGCTGGTTGTTTTTCTGAAAAGTCAGAGTTATAAACCTTTTTAAGACAGTAAGCATAAATCTTTGAAAATGAGCTTGTAAAATCTTAGATGAACTTTTACTGCAGTTGGTCCCTTCGTTTCGCCTGAATCCTTCTTTCAGAATTTTGTACCTCGCTTAGCAAAAGGTAAAAGAAGCTTGTTCTGCATCGTGCCAGTCTATGGCTACATATCCGTAGGATGTTCAAAAAGACGTCCTCTAATTTACCAAATTCGCATACAGGAAACCTATGTAGCACAACTGTAGTAAAATTACATAGGCACTATAACAGTATCGATTGTGCTGTAATTAAAATAAACTTTTTTAAACTTACATTTGCACCACGTGTAATTAATGTCTAATAAGACATTTTATATTGTACTTTTTGTTATACCATGCCCCCTAAAGCCAGATCCAGTTCGATCCCGAAACGCTGAGATTTATTCTCAGTCGTTCAGTCAGTGTCTCCAACGTTTCAGCTTTCAGCTTCGGCAGAGGGTAAACCAAGTCTCAAGCAGTGTTCTTTTATATATTTGCTCCAGCTCATTTTTAACTGTCATCGAAGTCTTCCGCCGGTCGGTAAAGCAGTTGGTATCTGCTTCGGTTTCGTTTCTGGAAGCATTCGCAATAGATTCCTCAATCATAACAGCTATAACTTCTCACTCTGGAGAATCTAGATTTATTCTATTAAAATTTATATGCGTTGTTAATCCTTTGAAGATTATGACATTAAATGATATAACTAAAGAATTTACCTTTGGGAGCGATTTTCAGCATTTGACCAACTTCGAAAGACAGTTCAGAGGGCAAGACGGCTTCGAATTTGTACAACGCCACCGCTTTATAGTGTTCTCCTTCACCGATCATCCATTTCGAAGGCCCTTAATTAATAAAGTAGTTATACTGTATTTTCATATCTGACCTCAAGGGTCAGCCTGGTGATGAGTGATACTTAAGAGTGACCGAAGAAGTTGCCATAGCTTGGAGAGAAGCAGCAGCATTCCGCTTATGGAAATTACGAATAAAACCACATCAATGCCATCGCTTCTACTTTTGCCGATCGACCTGCCTTTCTTCCGTCCATCATCGAAATTTGTATGTCTTAGGCACAGTTTGCTTAGGCAGAAAATTAGCGCTCGCTCGATCTGCTGTTTCAGCTGCACCACAATAATTAACCAGCACTTTGCCACGGTACCCAATTTCTTTAAGGTACACGAGACGGCTGTCACCACGTTGTTGACGGTGTAGAAAACGGAATCGACCAAACCGGTCAAACACGTGGCTGTCTCCGCTACCGCTGAAACCATACTTAACACTGGAGAGATTCCCTCCTGAGCCGCCCGAAAAATTGGCCAGTTGCAACAGTACGGTAAAACGTAAGGGGGCTTCCACTGTCCCTGGTAACCGCCGAAGGAAACGTCTTGCCAGCCGCCGTACTGATACGGATAGAATCCGTAAGCATTTCGTTGCAAGCCACTCCAGAAGCTGCCACTTGCGGCATTCGACTGTTCCGCATAGCCTATACAATTTCTAGGAGGCACCGGAGGTGGAGGTGGCGATGAGTCGCTTTGACGTGAATCGCTGACTCTAAAGAAATTTCATGATTTTACACAAGAGGAACCATTTCACATAGGATTTGACTAATGTGAAACGGAAGATGAATCTTTTATGCGGCAGTTCATCGCAACATTCCAAAAATTGTTTTACTGCATGACACCGCATATGCAGTTTATTCAAGACATATTCTCAAAATTTTGGATCCACTCTCAGAGAATGACAGAGAGATGACGTAAAGAAGGACAGGTTACAGTATGTACCTGTACGGGCAGGCAGCAACTTCGCCGTGGAGGCTTTAACCTCGACAGAAAAACTACTTCATAGTTTCATTTCGTAGCAAACTTAGTACCGTACTATCATATATGCTTATGCATTGATTTGACTGCGTTACGAGGATTTACTTTACCTTTCGGCTTTAACAGTTTCTTTTTCATTCTGCCACAAGATTTGCAGTGAAGTTGTTGCACTGCATGCTTCACAGCCGCAGAGTTGCTTTTGTATTCGTTAGACGCTACCTACGGGTCTTTCGTTTGCCTTCCCTTCTTCCATTTCTGTGCATCTTTTTTCTAACGTAGATCGTCTCTTTACCATCTAGTCTTGTTACTGAGATATTCTTCCTTCCTCCCGTCTATAGTTTTACCGTCTTCTTCTTTCAGATGGTTTAATTGATATGAATGTTTATGCATTGTATAACTTCACGGATAACAACGCGACTTTCTTGGAAACAAAATTTTAATTTATACACTGCATCCTTCGTCGTAAACGGGTGAATGAAAATTAGGAAATTGGCACAATTTAATTTCGTCATCAATCACATAGAAGCAAAAATATAGGATACTTCAGGATACTGCAATTAATATATAGCTTTCTAAACCTGTTTGTTAATACTTTCTATTTTGCCTAAAATTTTTGACGGTTTTTTGTTCATCCTTGTTTTGAAGTCACCGAATAAACTGTGTGCTGTATGGAAAAATCTCGCGGGTTTCTCATGCTGAGAAAGTCAGACGAAAAACTCTAAATGAAAACTAGTACATCATTCCGCTCGAGAAACTATGATGCAGAAGATAACGTTTCTCTAATAATTGAAGCACTGTAATCATTTGCAATGCAATAATCGTTTTATACAGCGACGCTTTGCTTCATATTTTCTATGATATTCTACCACTGGAGGAACTGCTTGAATGCAGATCGTATCTTTTTGAGAACCTTATTAAAAACGTGTCTGGCTTGAAACAGATGATTCGAAAGAAACCTGTTTAATCCCGCAACAGGTTCTGATAACGACTTGCTTACAAAGTGAAAAATGATCTGTCATATTATAACTGTCTCTTACTTATTGATATCCATCGATTGAAAGCCATTGTTTTCCATGGTTCTCAAGATGCCTAAACAAATATATGATGTGTAGCAAACATTCACAAATTAAATTAAAAGCTGGTGTAAAACGGTTTAAACGTCCGAAAGTGCATTACAGTGAGTAAAAATAGTTTTTAAATGTAATTTTCACGAAACAATCTGTTCAGCATATTTTGAAGAACTCATCAGAATCTGAATTTTCCGTTTCTCATGCGTAAATGAAAATTTATAGCTTGAATGAAATCACTGAGAAATTCTATTTTTCAGCAAACAGAAAACAACACAATCAGTCGAAAATACTACACAGATCAGAGAACGCATATTCGCAGAATACACAGCTGATGCACTTTGACCCTTAGAACTAGCAGGGAAATCCGATCAATAAGTGAACGAATAAGAAACACCAAATAAATATAACAAGCAAAAAAAACAAGGTAGAAGATAACTATTGAAAGTAGTAAGTGTTCTTTAAAAG